AAAAAGACAATTTTTCGACTTTTTGAACTTCTTGTTTTTATGGCCTAAAAAGACGTTTTTTGGTTCTAGAACATCGTAAAACACAATTTCCTCTCCTATGTTGCCTTAAGAAAAAGTTTGGAAAAATGGCCAATTTTTGACCAAAACCATAGACTAACCCCTTTGAAAAATTAGCAATTTTTCGACTTTTTTAACTTCTTTTTTTTACGTCCTAAAAAGGCGTTTTTGCGTTCTATAATATCGTAGAACATATTTGTCTGGCCTATATTACCTTAAAGTAAAACATGGAAAAATGGCCAATTTTTGACCAAAACCAGGGACCAACCCTTTTGGAAAAATCGCACTTTTTCGACTTTTTGAATTTCTTGTTTTTAAAGCCTAAAAAGTCGTTTTTTCGTTGTGTAATATAGTAAAACACATTTTCCTGGCCTATATTACCTTAACACAAAACATGGAAAAATGGCCAATTATGACCAAAACCATGGACTAACCCCTTTGGAAAAATGGCAATTTTTCGACTATTTGAACTTCCTTTTTTTCAAGCAAAAAAAGACGCTTTTTCGTTTTATAATATCGTAAAACACATTTTCCTGGTCTATATTGCCTTAAAACAAAACATGGAAAAATGGCCCATTTTCGACCAAAACCATGGACTAATCCTTTTGAAGAAATGGCCAATTTTCTACTTTATGAACCTCTTGTTTTTATGGCCTAAAAAGACGCTTTTTCGTTCTATAATATCGTAAAACACATTTTCCTGGTCTATATTGCCTTAAAAAAAAAAAGGGGAAAATGGCCAATTTTTGACCAAAACCAGGGACTAACCCCTTTCCAAAAAAACTATTTTTTGACTTTTTGAACTTCTTGTTTTTATAGCCTAAAGAGGCGTTTTTTCGTTCTATAAGATCGTAAAACACATTTTCCTTGTCTATATTGCCTTAAAACAAAAGATGGAAAAATGGCCAATTTTGATCAAAACAATAGACTAACCCGTTTGGAAAAAAGACAATTTTTCGACTTTTTGAACTTCTTGTTTTTATGGCCTAAACAGACGTTTTTTGATTCTAGAACATCGTAAAACACAATTTCCCCTCTTATGTTGCCTTAAGAAAAAGTTTGAAAAAATGGCCAATTTTTGACCAAAACCATGGACTAACCCCTTTTGAAAAATGGCAATTTTTGGACTTTTTGAACTTCTTCTTTTTAAAGCCAAAAAAGGTGTTTTTTCGTTCTGTAATATAGTAAAACACATTTTCCTGGTCTATATTGCCTTAAAAGAAAACATGGAAAAATGGCCAATTTTTGACCAAAACCATGGACTAACCCCTTTGCAAAAATGACAATTTTTCGATTTTTTGAACTTCTTGCTTTTATGGCCTAAAAAGGCGTATTTTTGTTCTATAATATCGTAAAACACATTTTCCTGGCCTATATTACCTTAAAACAAAGCATGGAAAAATTGGCCAATTTTTAACCAAAACCATGGACTAACCCCTTTGAAAAATTAGCAATTTTTCCACTTTTTCAACTTCTTGTTTTTATTGCCTAAAAAGGCGTTTTTTCGTTCTTTAATATCGTAAAACACATTTTTCTGGTCTATATTGCCTTAACACAAAACATGGAAAATAGCCAATTTTTGACCAAAACCATGGACTAACCCCTTTGGAAAATTAGCAATTTTTCGACTTTTTAAACTTCTTGTTTTTATGGCCTAAAACGGCGTTTTTTCTTTCTATAATATCGTAGAACACATTTTTCTGGCCTATATTGCCTTAAAACAAAACATGGAAAAATGGCCAATTTTTGACCAAAACCAGG